ATTGCAAGAGAGCGTCTGAAGGGCGGGCTAGCAGAAGGAATAATTTAAAGAAATAACTCAGGCAGCCCCAGCTGGCAGTGTCATGAAGTCTACCACTCCAGCACAGGTCACCTGAATGGATGGGAACCACGAGCCTTGGAAGAGCAAAGCTCAGCACTAACTTTCTGAGGGAAAAGCTGTTCATGCTGTGTAGCTGCAAGGCATTTATATAGCATTATTCTGTGCATAGTACATGTTCCTGCTGTCTGGTACTACTAGTAACAGAAATATTACATAGACATACCATGGGTAAGATCATACCCTACTGGTTTTGAAAGTAAAAATGTCTTCTGCCCTGTGGGAGCTTACAGATACGGGATGTTGATAAGTAAATCTGAGGTTACATTACCTTTGAGGACAAGGGCCCATGTTTTTATTCATTATCTGTGAAAACACCAGAACCCACAAAACATGCACAGCTGAAGAAACTTTACCTTTGTTTTTTGGCAGCTCTTCTGACTGTATCATGAACATGCAACAACCAGCACTTTTCCTGCAAGCATAGATGGGAATCCTACTTTAAAGGGACCAATCTTAACTTTTGTACCAAATTAAAAAGGCTTCTAGATTTTCTTATTTGTGAGAGAAACCTGAAAACAATAAGCTCTAAGTTTTGGGAGAGAACTCCCAAACTATTGATTTTGAACCAAATGGTCCCCATGATGAATCCAATAAATGGAGTGGTAGTAAAAATTCAGGTCAAATACATGCAAAATATGGTTAATTTGAAAACAAATCCTTGCACTTCAGATGTTGGACTCTGATACAAACTGGCATGATAACAGTGGTAAAGAAACCCTGAGTTTACTTCAGCCAACATGTGGAAGGGTTTGAAAAGCATTAGCTTGTGGTTTGAGTCCCCAAGTCATATTTAGCCTTTCTGCTTTCAGGGGTACCATGTGCCATCTTTTTAACATAAGAAACAGCTTAATTTGACCCTTCAGAGGCTTAAACAGGAATTTGGTCTAAGAGAAGACTGCAGGTTCCCTTGCCAGTGTTACTTGCTCTCTTTTATGAGTGCATGTGTTGACCTGTGTGTGTCTTCATACGGGCTCTTTACACACGATTACAAAGATAAATAAAACATGGTTAAAGCTGTTAAATTCCAGTATCCCCTCATTGCACAGTAAGTCATGAACTCCACTGAACAAAATAAATTTGGAAAGAAAAGTGAGATAAAGTGCATCTCTTCTAAAAAGTGCGTATCATAATTTCAAGATACACTTTCCGTTACAATTTCTTATGGCATTGCATCTGTTCATGAAAACTGAACTGAAATTGTAAATCATTCCATAAATGTTAACTGAAAAAGGATGGCTCATTTCTAAATATCTTTGTGTCTTTTGGTTTCAGATCATCCAAAATTTTATTTCCTGGAATTCAGAATTAATGTCTAAAAAGGAACACAAACCCCAAAACAAACAACAACAAAGCAAGATCCTCCTCTAAACTTATTTTTTTTTTATCATCTGTCCTCCAGTTCTGGAAGAGGAAATTCTGCAAACCAAATCTGAACTCAGGAAAGGGAGGTACTAGCAAACTTGCTGTGCTGAAGTAAAACACAAAAGGTAAATATAGCATCATTCAGAAGACTCCATACTTGGTCATGCAACTTCTTTGAAAGCTACAGCCCTTGTCCAGGTCACAGCAGTGTAACTGGATGCAGAACACTTACCAAAGAGCAGAAATTGCTAAGAGCTAATACAGATGAGCATTTAAAAATAGCTAATTTGAAATTATTTCTTTGTATCAAAGCATCGATGGGTGGAGCGTTTCCAATACATTTTCACAGATAAAATATTTGAGTTTTATGGTGACTCACTTGGTTTCAAGAACTGAGCAAAGGTGAAAGGATTTGTTCTGCTTTTTCTAATTGATCTGCTGAGCATGTTTATTTCTAGACAACTTGTGCATTGAGTAGCATTTACTGTACTTTATTGCTATATTTGTTGGTCTTTTTTTGCAGCTCAGCCCCTGGTACGTGATTGTAAGTTTTAAGCGATACCCTTATGCCCTGTTAAGTTGCAAAGTCCTACAATAGCATCTGGAAATGATATCTGTCTCTCTAGGTGGATTCTTGGAAGAGAATTCAGTTTAACTGTAATTCTGTCTTTACCTTCCTTCCCAGCCTTATCTACCCTCCTTTGAGAGCTGACAGGGAAAAATAAAGACAAGTTATGGGACAATTGATATAAAACCTGTGTACATGTAAATCTAAGTTACTGCATATAAAAGGAAGGAAAGACAAAATTAGAACAGTACTGGGAGTTACACGATGAGAAATCTGGAGGGTTTTTGTTCCATCTTGCATTTGACGTATAGAACAAGAAAAATGCAGGTAATGGGAATCTTGATTGAGGCAATGAAACCCAGGGATGTAGAACTCTCTTCTAGGGGTGAGAAGAGCCAGACTGAAAAATTGGTGAGTAATTTTGTTTCCCTAAAAGGAATTAACTTGATTAACATTATGCAGACAAAGGTTATTACAGCTAGCACGGGTCAATCTGTAGACAAAAGCTTCAAAAGGAGCTAATGTTATACAAAAGACATGCATGTATCTTTACATCAAAATAACACTTCCATGTTTATACTTCAGAGTTAGTCATTAAAGTTTGCCAGCATGTTTTGTGTAGGCTGGGAATAATGATTTCTGCGAGACTGTTACGGTCTAGCTGGGAAAAATAGTGCCTCTCTTGTGAGTTTTGTCACTTTAAAAGTTATGGAACTGAAACTGCCTGGAGAAATTATTGGTTGTAGATAGCTATATTTGGTGATTTGGGCTGGGTAAGAAAAGGTTTAATAATTCACATCTTCTTTGTAATATATTATTGACTGTACATTAAACCCACACAAAAGTAGAACAGCTGACATGGCTGGAAGCCATTTGGATCCCACCTCTGAAATCGAGGTATGGATTTATACCTAATCCCCTGCATTTGAAACAGAAAACACACGACTTCAAATCAGGGAGTCAGGGTAGCAGCTCTCTGGTCATGATGCAGGAAGCTGGGGCATAGTAGCGCTTGAGTATTTTATTATGGTGTTACAGGGAACAGTGCCAGGTTGGTTTTGACTTCTCACTTTATCTAAATTGTTCTTCAGTATTATGACCTGCATTGTCTTACTACAGGGGTAGTAAAATCCCAAACATGCAGACCCTAGTGTTAGCATAGCCAAGCTCCATGTAAAAACACACAGTAAATCAGCCTCACTGCAGCCAAACCACATGTAAAAGCAAGCTGTGAAACAGACTCAACATCGCCAAACCACATGTAAAAGCATGCTGAAAGCCACCCTCCGCATAGCCCAATTACATATAAATCTGTGATGGAGAACAGTGAGGTTTGCATGTTTACTGGAATAACTCCAGGTTGCAGAGAATCCCCTTGCACAAGTCACCTTCTCTCCCACCTAATGTCTGAGCATCCAATGACACACTGGACAGACCCACTCCCAAGTCATAAGGTAGGAAAAGTGGCTCCAGTAGGAATGAAATATAGCACAGTGGATTTGAAAGTAGCGAATGAGAAAAAGAATCAAGCTCAGAAAGAGCAAAGGACTAATTTTTTTCTTGTCCGATTCAGACAGAATTGATATTGATGAGTTATTCTCACTAATACATCCTATTTACCTCTGTGACCACATGGAAAGAATGAGTCAGTCAAGGGCCAGAAAAAAAAAACCCATCTGGCTCCTGTGATTAATCTTTCCAACTAGAAATGAGTTAGATGCAATTAGTGATCCCATTTTCAGTTGTCCTGACTTCAAAAAGCCATCTTAGAAATTTTATTAGATGAGAGGGAAAATTGTGAGAATTGAGCTTCCAGTTCATTGACGTTCTGTTAACTTGAACTGCATTGGGCTTTTAAATGTCTTCCTGTCACACATTCCATGCATTATCATCCTTGCAGTTAGTTATTAATGAAATATTTTGGGGGGGTTTACAGACTTTTCTCACAGTGGGTCTCAAAGCACTTTACGAAGGAGTTTGGTATCATTATCTGCATTATATAGCTGTGGAAACTGTAACAAGGAGGCATGAAACAGCCTGCCTGATGTTGTGCGGGAGGTCAATGGCAGACCTTGATGTGCAGCCCGCATCTTTTGAGCCCACATTTCTTTCTACTGAATATTATTCTTGGTTATCTGCTGCAGTGAAAGTCCCAATAACGGCTGCTGTTTCTTGCTAGCTTAATAAAAATCTGGCAAATAAACGCTGTTTGTGGCAGCAGGTTTCTTATATCAGTATGAAATATCCAAATCTCTGAGAGCCAAAGAAGGCTTGCGTAGGAAAAGGCTGCTCACAGAAGCTGGTAGAAACACATTTAAGGGTGTGCTCAACCAGCAAGAGATAGTTTTGCTTTTCTCTTGCACTGTTTTGTTTGAACATGTTGTTGCTTAATATGCCAGTAGGGAGTTTGGGAACTGACTTCTGTGAGATAATCCAGGATTCCTGGCCTTTGACACACAGTATGGTTATTGAAATCAGGGGGTCACAGCTTCCCCGCTGTGTAAAACAGAAAGGCTTGACTGGCTTAGGAGGAGAAATTTCAGCATATGTGTAAGTTGAGGATTTGCCTAGGGGAGCAAGCTTGGATTTAGTGTAAGGAGCTATTAATCTATTAAAACCACTTTTAGATTTTGAAATTAATTTATTTGATCAATAGACTTTTCTTTTTCCATTTCCACTCCCCTGGCTGAGCAGTCTGTCAGGATATCAATACCATAACTTATTTACACGCTTTGCCAAGTTCTCTAAATGCAATATTTGACAGCTCATTTTTCTCTTACTCATTCCAGGCCCGTCTTTGCAATTGTGCCCGATTGAACATTACCAGTAAATGCAGAAGTGTGGAGCCAGACTGGTACAAAGCAGTACACAGACAAGGTAAGGTGCATGGCTGCTTGTCCACTGCATAGTCCTGGCTCATATTTGCCCTGTTTAGTCCCAAATGTTAGATATTGTCAGGTGAAAAGAGGGTTCAAGAGCAAACCTTTATGTTTTGCTGTCATCTACACCTTTTCTACTCCCTTGGAGAATGGCCACAGGTTTGGGCCTGTGAGCAGCCAACAGATACATATGCCCTTATTTTTCTAGTTTATGTTTTGCCCTCATTAATTCACTTTTTCAGCCCTTAATGTATTGACCAAAACGGCAGCAATTGAACCATCAGCCAATGTTACCTGGGCATCTCCCCCAGGGCAATGGCATCCAGATGGAGGGGAGGAGAAAGAGGACATGGGTATGATGAAGTCAGCTCTTTATGTGGCATCTCTCCAGCTGTGGCAGAAATTGCTGCACTTCATAGAGGCCTGAGAATCTTCTATTATTATTATTATTATTATTATTATTATTATTATTATTATTATTATTATTATTATTATTAAGAGGCAAATTGCAGAAGAGTTTATATTCAAAAGGAGAGCAATAATTCTCTGCATTATGTTAAAAAGGTTGGTATTGTATCTAAGAAGTACCAGTTAGTGTATTTACCATTAACATGTGACACATGTAAAATATTTTCTCAGGACAACACTGATGATGACAATAATAATAATCAAAGTAATATATGAAACAAAACAGCCCTAGGTCTCAAAAGTGATCTTATAAAGTCAGTGGCATTACAATTATTCAGCACAGCAATGATTCTGACTGGAGGGAAGAAACAGAGCAGGGCAGCAAATGAGGGAGGAGAACTATTGTTATATGGCATGTAGATCCAGGGTAAAATCCTGAATGCTGGTTTTGGTATTGACTTGAATTGGGTATTAGCTGTTTTAAGAACAAGAATAAACAAGTAGAGGGGAAAAACACATGAAAGTGTTTAAATGTGGAAGATTTGCTTTTGCTATCTGTGACTATGCATTTTTATTCTGTTTGTTGCTTCTGTGCTATTCTGCTGCTCCCTGTTATATCCGTATGTATGCTTTTACATCTCATTATCTGATGTACTTTAACAAAATATGTGAACTTAAGAGCAAAAAGCCAAACTAAGCCCACAGTTGCTCTTGCCAAATCTTATCTTTTTTAATACAGAAGGTTAACCATAAGCACAGACACAGTGTAGTTGAAAATATTCCTTCTGTCTCTGAAATGTATATTTTATAATCGGCTTTTAACTATCTCCACCACCACCAAATCAACATGTATAAGTATATTATTCTACTTTATGAAGCTAGAGGCTCTGCAAAACATAAGGTAGATTCATATCTCCCCAAACGCTTGTCACTTCAATACTCCATCAAATCATTGTGGATAGAATTAGTTTTTCCCACTTGGAATTCAGTGGGAAAATCTTTCCTGGATCTCAGCAAGTGCCCCAAGCCAGGGACTGATTTGGCAAGGTCAGGCTGAAAACATCTCTCTACACTTACTTAAAGCAAGGCACAGCTCAAACCCTGCTTTGTCCAGCTGTCAAAACCCTGAAGTGGGAAGTTAGTTCAGCTACAAAGACATAGAGATTGATCAACTAGAAATACATCCATCGGAACTTAGGAGGTGAGGTGTCTCAGGATCCTTCTCTCTAGGCTTTTCAGCAACCAACCCTGACAGAAATACAACAAACACCCATTCTTTTATTAGCCCCTTTGGTATCTAATAAGACTTGGCTTGACAGCTCCAGTTTCTGGATTCCTGCAGCAGCAGCCTGCTTCTGCTTGTATGCTCTTAAGATAGGAGTCCATGGGGGCAAGACCTGTTAAATACAGAGACACTGAAGAAATGGGTTCAGAAATGTTCCCTCTTCACTGGGAACTGGGAAAGAAAATTTAATTGAACTACTCTTCCCCTCTCATAAGTCCAGGGGGGAGAACCCAAGAGGATTACTTAGGACTTCAGAGACAGATAATTTAGGAGTTCAGAGCCGCTGTGTCTGTGAAAGAGCAAGGCCACGTTGTCATGCCCTGCTCACTGTGAACAGACTCAGAAATTAAGCCTGAATTCCCCCAGATCCTCCCTGGTAGGAATGAAATCTGAATGAGAAGCAGCACAGCCTGTTCTTCTGTTCTTGGGCAAGAGTTGTAGAGCCAGCACTAAGGGAACTGTTTGCTGATGTATGAGCTGAAAAGATGAAGTGGGAATGAAATAAATAGGAAATTTTATGAAAACCTGTATGCGGAGAATTTTCAGTCTAGCTTCAGAAGGCTATCTAAATGGGAGCAAATTTCCATTTCCATCTAGCCTTTTAAAAAACCTTATAAGTGCTAGCATAATTCAGACCTCTATTTAGTTGAGTGAAGAGATCCACTGAAAGTCCTGCTTTGAATCAGGTGCAAGAAAAAAAAAAATACCAAAAGTATAAAAAGACTTGGTTAGGAGTTTCTTCCACAGTTTAAAAATATCTTAACCTCATCAATGACCTTGATACAGATAATTTCTTTCACCTTAAGCCCTCTAATTTCTTAACCAGTCTTCAATCCTTAGGGTGTGCCCTTTGCCTTCATCCATATTTCTTAGACAATCAGACCTATTTATTGCCTGCCTTTGGGAGAGATAACCTTAGGAAAAATGGATGGATTCGCTTGCATAAGGGAAGATGCTCAGATACAAAAGTACTGCTCTTAATGTACTGATTCTAATTCATCTTGCTTATTTTTAATACCTCTTCCATTGTTTCAAACAGAATTCTCACATTTCCAGAAATATTTAACAACCCAATTTTTCTTCTTGAATGGTTTTATCTCCAAGCCTGTAACTTGTACTGTGAGTACTTCTGAAAACAACTGAACCCTAGACTACCAGCTCCTTGGAGACTGCTGTTTTGTGTGCCTCATCAACACACATTCTGGAAAGATCACCACTGGACACACAAGAGATAAGGGAAAGCTTAAAAGTGCTATTTCACAGTAGTATTCTTCATAGTATTCCCCAAAGGTATGTTTGCAGCTGTGTAGTGAAAAAAAAAAAAAAAAGTAATTAAGAAATTTACATCAATCAAAGCAGCTAATCAGAACAGAATGTTGATTTCTGTCTCCTGTTTTGTTTCTTTTTGGATGGAGTATAGTTGCTGATATGTATGCTGGTCTTCTAATCCTTTAATGGGGGCACAGGCTTTTGAAGACTCACTCTCAGAGGTGCTATTACCAAATATATGCTTCTAATTTAACTTCTCATGCTGTATTACAGTAGCCTGGAGCAATTTTAGGTGTTGGGTTTGTGAGAAAAGCCCAATCTCGATGTTTATCAGATGACCTTTTAAAGGGTAATGTGGGGGTTATCCATTGGCATGATTAAGACCATATGTAGATCACTTTTCCCAGGCATTTCTTACTGCTTTTCAAAATTCCATCTATTTTTACCCAAATTCAACCAGGTACCTTTCATCTCTGGTATGTTTATGGGCATTACAAAATGAGACTGAAGCAAAGTGTTTACTCCTTTGGAGTAATTTCTATTAGAAAAGTCAAGAAACCTTGCATGCACAAATATATTGGGTCATCACAGAACTACTACAGATAAGCTACTTTATTTTATTTTTGAACATTTCAGATGTTTACAGCAGTTTTTTCTGTTCCCTCTCCCCTCCATTGTCCCTTCTTACAAAGACTTCTTGAAAGACTATGGAGAAGTGACTTCTTGTGAGATTCAGCTTTTAGTGCTGAATCTGGACTGATACCAAAACACAAGGCTAAATGCCCTCAGTAATCCTTATGCTCAATCTCAGCTCCCTTCTCAGAGGTATGACACGTGTTGTGTTCAAGCAATAACCTTGTAGTGATGTCCTGTTATGGAGCTGCTAAGAGCTGGGGCTTTTAAAGAATCTACTATCTGTTACAGAAAAGAAGGACAGAAGACAAATCTGCCTCAGTGTTGTGCCTGTGAGAGTATCATTTTTGCTGCATTGGAAGGTCAGTATTTCCCTGATGGCTCATCATTTTGGTAGAGTCCTTGCTGAAAACCAGCTGCCAGTGTTTACTGAGAGTCTTTGAAAACTTATTGTTAACAAATATTGTGGTTTTGTAGTTTTTTTGTTTTTTTGGTTTTTTTTTCTTTTCAGAGAGAAGATCTTTGTCTTACTGGGCCTCTTCACTGGGACTGAACAAAGAGGTGGCATCGTAACCTTTACTGCAAAGCAGAGTTCAATACAGGCAAAGACACAAAGGCTAACATGGTGCTTAGATGTCAGCTAAGGAAGTAGGTGATGAGTCAGGCATTCACAATAAATACAAACTCTTCTAGAAGACGAAATACAGCAAATACCTTGTGAAGTCTTTAGGTGTAAAAACTAGACTTTAAAGGACTTTTTCAATGAATTAGGACACACATTTGTTCATGTCAGTAGTATTATTTTGAAGTAAGGTTACAGCATGGATTGTCTAAAATAAACGCACCTTGGTGCAGTTAACATTGAGCATCTGGTGATATTTTAAGGTTTTTATGCCCCAGATTTTAGATCATAATTGGGAGACCCCAATTACTCCTCTGTCACCAGCCATCATAGAGCTGAGACATGTTTAGGAGATACAGGGGAGAAGGAGCTCTCAAACCCAGATGTTATGTATGTGTTACATTTGGAAAAAAAATAAGGGAGAACTAGTGTGTGTGATACCACAAAAGGAACTACTAATGCAGAACAAATTTTCATTCCTGATGACTTTTTTGAGATTATTTTTTCTACGTAACAGATACTTTTAAAATCTTCATTTATGTGAAGGTACGCTGTAGTCAGACTCAAATTATTGCATTTAATGTGAGCTTACATATTAATGTGAACTAATGTGTACGTGTATTAGAGTGAAAAGTTGGGCCTGTGACATATAAAATATCAGAATAGGGGGAGCTTGTGGCTTACCTCCACTTGAAATGCTATGAACCAGTGATGTCTTCACATCAGAAAATGAAACGTTTCCCTGGGGTTAGGATCCTTGTGTCAGTGGGCACTAACGTGCTATGATGTTCCTGCTTAGGGCTCCCCTGACCCTACCCATGGCCCAGGACCCCGTTCCAGTCCAGCCTGGGACCAGCAGTCCCCTATCTTATAAACACATGCCATTTCATTACCATCTACCATCAAGTAGATTCAGGTTACAGAAGACTCAGTTGCAATCAAGCTCCGGTACATCAGACTTGCTGAGGTAGCTGACCCTACAAGCCCCACGCATGGCAAAAACAAAAAACCCAACTTCTTTACCTCTCTTCCCTCGTGGGGCAAAGCAAGTGGCATTACTGACATGTCCTTCAGGCTGAGAAATATGCACATGAGCAGTCAGTACCACACAGCCAACACGCACTTACATGTTAAGCCACAGGAATGTGATTATGAGGCAGAGCTTTTCATCGGCTTATACTACAAAGGCAAAATGCTGCCCCCACTGAAGTCAGTGGCAAAACTCCTGTTGGTTTTGTCACAGCCAACATTTCACCCTTCTGATCACCGGCCTCTGAGCCTGCAAGCCTGGCTGCAGAAGGTGTGGTTCATGGCTTGCCTATTCCAGAGGATTGGGAGCTTTAAGATCTCGGAGGAGTTTGTGGCAGTGCAATAACCACGGAGGCCAGCAGCCAGGTTTTGCATTTTCCATTGCAGCCACAATAGTTACTTATCTTTGAAAGCATTACACAGGTAGGGGCTTTACTGGAGAGCATTTATGGGTCTCCTTTTCATCCAAAGGTATGAATTATGTTCAAATAACATGGGAATGACTTGTCCATAAATTTTAGTAATAACATCTGTGAATAATACTATCTCGCCAGTTGTACTCCTCTCCTTGCTTTTGTTTCACAGTAGCTTGCAAAAGCAATCAACATCAAATTTAGGGTGGGATTTAGCGTGGGGATTTGGACTTCTTAATACAGAAGAAAGCTTTGAAAAGCTCAGTCTTAGCAAAACCAGCAGCTGATAGTAATGATGATAAAACAGAAATAAACTGATTCATATCTCCCCACCCAAAATATTTATATAATGAATTAATTAATTGTACTTTTTCTTCTTCTGATGGGTGGGTTGCTAGCCTTTGCATTGCAGCAGACCTGGGGGAGCTCTCTTGCAGCCTGATGCCAAGAATATGTGTTATTTCATATACTGTTATTTGCTTTGGGTTTAAGGTGGTGAGAGCAAATTCCCCTGCAATCAGCCCTAAGTGGTTCTGCAGTGAGCAAGTCTTTTGGTGCTTGAATATCTTTTATTAGAGGGGGGTGAAAAAAACCCTTTATCTGCTTCTTGTAATTCAGACATTTACCATATATCTAGAGAGAAGCATAAAAAAAAGAGGCAAGCCTAAACATTAGAGAGTACAAATTAATTCCAGTGTCATTTTATCTGCCTAATTGTGCCTAAAAATAGCCTGTGGGAAGGAGGACCAGCAGCCTTGAGTGTCTGAGGCAATTTGTATCAATTATTTCCCAATGTACCAGTCACAAGTGAAAGCCCTTGCCTGAGTGCCTCCATTAGCCAGGTGTCAGAGCTCTCTGTTTTCATTCCAGGCTTTTCTCTGGGAACAGGGTGTGTGCGCACCAAGAAGCGCCGAGGAGGAACTGAGGCCTTGGCTGATCCAGGAGGGTGCCCAGAGCAGCTCTGCAGGCGAGGTTAGTGCCTTCACTCCTCTGTCATCACCAGTCCCTGAGAGCAATCACCACCCACCAACAGTTCCTCGAGATAAGACCGAGCCAGCTGGGAGAAGAAAGCCTTTGATATTTCCCTGCCTTGCTGAGTAAGTATGCCATAACAATAATACTTTGAACTTTAACAGCACCTTTTCATACCAGGGTCCGAGTGCTCCACAAACATTCATTCCCCAAGTCTCATACCACCCATTTGAGAAAACAGTTTTGGGTTTTTTTTTTAATTGTACCACCTTTATAGGCCAGATCTTCCAAAGAGCTCAGCACCTATTCTGCCTGCACTAGAGAAATTATTTTCTTTGCATGAAAGAACTGGAGTATCTGGGTTGTTGCTTTAGATACCTGTGGCCAATGTCAGTAACCTCTACCCTACTCCTGCCCCAAGATGTTTATGTCCTGGATTTGTGGAGATGTGCACAAATACAGCTCAAACACATGTAAACTGCTTGTCTCTTGCTGTCAACCCACAGGGATCCTCATGAGCCTCCTGATGAGAATTTTTCTGACAAAGCAAAATTTCATCAAATCTAGTTTTAGTCAGGCCTTTCTGTTGTCTGTAGCTAATATATTAACTGATGTGAAATGTTACAAGAAAACTAGAGATACTTGTTTTGTTCAGCAGAACTATTTTGAGTGATGCTATTATATTTGGAAACAGAACAAGAACGTACTTGTCACAGTTATATGCAGGCATACTATAGATAAATAGAAAGAGATGCTACATACCAGATAGTCACTGTATTTTGCTTTGGTAAAGCATGCAACAAGATTAAACTTTGATTTTCGTCTCCCGTCTGCTTTCTCAGTGAGAAAATACAGTCAAGGCCAATTCTGGAGTTGATCTATCTCCGTGGAAAGTTGTTTTTAAAGTGGTGCCAAATGTCAGTGAAGAATCACAGTTAAGGTTTCCACATTAAGAATAACACTCTCTTGTAGGGAGGGTGAGCTAAGAGTGCACTCTGCAGCCCAGAGGACAACATACATGCCTTTCAGTTACATGTCCATTCAAGGAGTACAGATTCATTTCTGGAAGCACACCATCTATATAGCATTCACAGCCTTTAAGCTTTACATGGGATACAGCATTTGAGTCCTGCTCCAAAGTAGAATCCACTGATTCCTTCAGCTCTCATTTCTCTTGATGCTTCTGAAAACCAATTAATCCATTTGGCCTGTTTAATTTTGGGGCACTGTAACTATGTTGATTGCCCCTGGGAAATAGTTATTAGCTGTTCCTCTTCCTGAGGTATGTCAAAGTCTTTGGTCATTCAAATACCACGAATTCAAGGCATATCATTCATACACTTGTTGCAGTGACCATGATCTCTTAAAATCACAGAGTAAACTTCAAACATATAGTTGGTTATCCAAGCCAAACTTCTCTAATATTTTGAGATTTACCCATCACAAATGTAGAGTGAAAAAAAAAA